GCTAGACTTCATTAACAATATTCTATTAGGAATAATAATAAAGAAAATAATAGGAATTACTAGATAAGAATAGATACCATAGAGTATCTCTGCTGGGGTATTTAATCTGCGACAGCTTCAAGATACTTTCATCATCTTGTGGACTTTTGCATCAGGCTATTGAAGGGAACATGTTTATTCAGATGATCGCATCAATAGTTTATAATATAGTACATATATGACATCTGCGTTAAGGGGCTCTGAGAATTGTTTTCGGTTCGGGCTTTGTTAAACAAATGTCGAATGTTATCAGCCGCATACTCGTATTACCACCCGGTCAGATACTCTTTCTCGGCTTACAACTGCTGTTTAGAGCTTATCGCGAGAGGCACCTGGAACTTGTCATTTTATCGGGCACCTTTCGGAAAGCTATTTACATGCCGTTACGAGTGCACGTGCCCCAGAGCACCGCTTATGTAAAGTGTGCCCAGAGGCACACTGAGTTCCCGACAATCGTTAGCGAACACTGCAAGGTCAGCGGGATGAGATGATAAGAGATATTGAGATATTGTGCTTATGATAAGCGGCGGATTATCATGGGGCCCTAGTAAACAAATACTTACAAGTTATGGTAGGAAAAATAGATCTAGACTGTTTAACATAATGTCTTTACATTTCTCTACAGAAAGGTAGTTTTTATATTTCTTAAAATTTATCAAAAAATTAAGTGCATAAATGTGCATGTAAATTGTTTAATCGGAATATTTTAAAAGAAAGTTTTAATCCCTGGACAAATTTTACATCATTCTCTTTATGAAGAAGTCGTAACAGTGTTGTAAAATTGCGGCAGCTGCTGTTGGCATTTTTGGGCACGTACGCAACAATCTTGCATGTACTCAGAAAAATGCATGAGTGTGCATGTCTCGCGTGCCTGAGGTCGCGTGAAGTCCTAAATTTAACACGAGTGGAAATTTTTATGGAAAATAACCAGCAAAGACACAAGCACACACACGCACACACACTCGTTGCCATATGCAGAAGAAGTGCAAACATTTAGGAATATAAATGTAAGAGGCAAAAGCGAAACGAAAATCGAAATTTTCCATTCATTTGTCGAACGCGTCAGACGATGGATGCAATGAAGAGTAACTCAACCACCACCCTCCCCTCCCCCTGCACGCTCTCTCCTGCGGATCTCCTTGAGCGACAGCGCACTTTAGCACTCTCTCTCGATCTCGCGGCCCGCACACACATACAGACGCAAACGCAATAACTCAGCCGAGTACATCGATTCTGTTTTACTTGCTGAACGAAATCGATTTCAGGTTGGCAAAGCTCTCTTCTTCTTCTTGTTGTTGTTGCTATTTCTGTTGCTCTTCTCATTTGCCTTTTGTGTCTTTAGTCAGCACAGTCTGCATGTGACTGCGATCGTTGGACTTTGGGCATGTCGACCTACAAGTGGAACATGCGAGAATCTCCTGGTTCCGCCTCTGTCCCTCTCATGTCTATGCACTTATCTGCACGTTTTCACAAATGCCTCGAGAAAGACAGGCAGATTGCCAAAAGATGCCATCGACTTGATTTCCTATTTGGCTTCAATTTGATCATGTTATTTACAGGACACATTTAAACAGGCCGAACATTTCAATTGAAATTGTTAAATATACATATGTACATACATATGTATGTATGTAAATTTAGTTGTCATATACATTTTCTGTTCTTCCCCCTTTGAAAAATCACATTTCGAATTTATTAATATCATAAATTTAAGAAACTCGAAAGCTTAAAAACTTTTGTGAGCAGAATTTGAATAAAGTAATCAAGTAAGAAATCGAAATTCTGTGCACTTAAATTTATAAAACAATTGAATTGGCCGAGTATTTTTACTAGAGGTTTCTAAGAATAGTTTTAAGTATGTAATTGAGGGAAATCTTTCGTAGATCCGTGAAAAGTTTGTAAGTGCGTTGTTTTGTGATCATCTCACTGCTGTGCGCCCTTCAGTTAACAGTTGGTTAATAAGATTCACACCTTCCATTTGGTCACATGTGTGATTTTCCACAAGTAGCCGTAGACATTCGCACATTAGCTAATCGATATATTCCAAAACAAAATAACTCCAACAACTTTCCACAGCACTGTGTAGATTTCCATTGCGCATTGTAGCGCATTGCTTCAGCGTCTTGAGCTTAGCCCGTTAAACTTTACTCTTTGTTTGCATCTCTTTGGCCATCACAATCTCTGCTGAGCGATGCATTTAAGAGCGGAGCTAAGAGCAGCAATCGAATGTAAGAGCAAGAGGGAGCCGGTTTTGGGGGCACGTTCGTTTTGTTTTTCTTTGCTGTTGTTGCTTTTGTTGTTGTAATTGCTGCTGCTGTTGTTGTTGTTGTGGCTGCTGTTGCTTGGCGCACAAGACAAGCCCCCGTGCGTGACGTCACGTAAGCGAGACCGTTACAGCAAAGCGAATAAGAAGAGGAGCAGCGACGACATCGAGCGACTCGAAAACGAGTTGTTTTTGCTGGGCGAAATGTGGTCAAGGAAACTTAACGAAGAGGGGGAGGGGCGGGGCGTGAATCGTGCAAGTTGGGAATGAACGCAATTGATCAATCAGCGAGAAAGAGAGAGTGCGATGGCATGTGACCGATATTCCAGCCGATAAGACGCAGTTATCGAAACAATAAAGTCGGACACCCCCCCCCCCCCCCACACACACACACACACACACTCCCGACCGACAGGAATGGCGCTAATAGTAGACAGACAACTGTCATACGACCGGCCCGCAATTCCCGCATACGCCCGTCCACCCGTCCACCCGTTCACCTTGAACTTAACACTCGCTGTCAGTCAGAAGTTACATAAGGCGCAGACAGAGAGGGGCGCGGGCAAAAGAGACGGCACATTTGCATGTCTCGCCTAGGCGCTGGGTCTGAATGCATTAGGCCCGGTTCATTGGCGTCTAGTCAGGTGTTGCAAACCGGAATTTGATTTGTCGGAGTTATGTATTTATAGATGTCTGGTCGTATCAGCCGACTTGGCTAAAAATATTTCTGATGCCAGTCGAGCAGGTTTTCTCGTGCTCTCTCTTTCTGTTGTTGTTGTTGTTCTTGCCTGCCCTTTGATGAAATGATTCACATTAATTGCGTTATGAACCAGTTCAATTGAACTATTCCGAAACGGAGTTGATCGGAATTCCTACTACATATTATTTATTCCATAATATATAAACTAGAACCATAAAAAATTGTCACATACATCACATTGTAAATCAGAAAATATTATCTATAAAAAATGATTACAAATTGATTTTTAATGGTGGGCCATAAATGTTGTTGGGCGCAATTTTTGGTATTGCCGTGTTGTTAATGAAAAGAACCGTACAATAAAAATCAGATCAAGTGACGTTACGATTTATGGGGCCAATTAAGTGATATGCCTCAACTTTTTTCTAGTTAAGCCCAAAACCATATAATGGAAGGGGTAAATGTTAAAAATGTAAATGATTCAATAGTTAGCCAGGTTCGGGCACATTCCGGAGAACATTTGCACTGCGCTTTAATTTTCTCATTGTGCAATGTGCCGCAAGTCACCTGAGTTTCGGTCTGAGATCTGGGCCTGTTGCGTCATTTGTCACGTTTCATTTGTCTTCGCATTTTCAAGCTCTGACAATGCACATTTTTAATTAACCCGCTTTAATCGACGTCGCTTTCCATACTCGTTTCTCCATAACTCGAAAGATGCTAAACGCAGACACACCTTCCTTTTGTCTGCCCCCGATCAGCAAATGTGCATTGGTCGGCAGTGCACGACTAGTAATACCCTGTACCCAGCGAAACAGAAAGGCAAGACTGTGCTACTTTTATTCTTTGATTCTTAAATAGCTTCGGTGTTTATAGTCCGATCTTTGTGAAATTTGTATCCAACAAAATCTAAGATGTAAATGTAAATGTAATGAAATATTCTAGAAGCCATTCTATACTATATTTCTTATTAATTAATCAATTAATTAATAACCTTGTGCGTCTGGAGAAACCTTCTGTTACATACACTTCCACAAAACCCACAAACCTTTCGTCGTTAGCAGCACTTGCAATGGGCACAGGGTATACAGAAAAGAAAAAAAACAACAGTTTACTTAATTAAATGACGCATTTGAATTGTTTATAATATGAGTTTCCAGTGCCTGCATTGTGGGCCAAAACATTGTAATTGAAACAGCTCAATGGAGCATGAAAACTCCCTGCATAAATACAGAGCTACTAAATATGTGAATTAAGCAACACAAACAGATACTGCTTTGCTAATTTGTTGCATCGACTAGTTAGTTAGTACACAGTATTCTAATGAACAAAGTGTTCCATTAACAGCTGCAATGACAAGCCAAATAGTCGCTGGTTCCGTGCACGGTTCGAACCGGCTACCTCTCTTTCGATTCGTGCAGGCTAAGCACGTCCATGAACCCAAGTTTACGGTTCAGAAGTTTATAATTTTCTTCGAAATTTATTCTTTTAATCTTTCATTTAATTTCATTCTTTTAATCTTTCATTTTACGCTCCACTAGTTCCGAACTGATTCGATTTGTGATTTTTAGTGTTGGAAAATAGCAAAATAAATGTTTTAACTAGTTGAAAGTGAAAAGATATTTTGCCAGTGTTGAATAACGTCGCCTTTAACTCAATGAAGATCTTTCATTTCACGTTCAACTAGTTCCGAACTGATTCGATTTGTGCTTTTTAGTGTTGGAAAATAGCAAAATAAATGTATTTACTAGTTGAAAGTGAAAAGATATTTTGTCAGTGTTGAATAACGTCGCCTTCAACTCAATGAAGAACTGTTTCACATCATTTTGAAGCACTTTCGGCCCACTGTGCTCGGGCCCCTGGTTAAACAAGCCCTCGCAGAATGTTAGATCGTAGACATATACTATGCACACATGTCCATATAGATACATATGTGTACCGTAATTGTTTATTGACTTGATTGGCTTTAACTTGTCCAGACAATTATTATTATAAAAAAATAAAAATAAAAAGCTAAAAAACAGATGAATTCAGATGAAATTAACTTCTGCATTGAATTGAATCGAACATCGCCATTTTGTGGGGCGTGTGCGGAATACGTAATACGCTGGCCATAACCTATTCTACGGCTATGGGCGGAACCCTATTCGAGTTTCTCGAAGAAGACCTGCGTCAAGGTGCGCGCTATGCCGTAGGCGTAGAAGGTAAAGTCCAGCCGATAGACGCCCGCCGGCACGGGCATGTTCACCTTGGTGAAGTCCAGGGCGTAACGCTCCACGGTCATGTGATTCTCCCGCCAGGGACACGATTGATTAAAGTTGCTGTGCTGGCGCACGGCATCGAAGATGAATCTCTCGAAGGAGATGCGGTACTTGCGTGCGGCCATCAGCTTGCAGAAGTCGAAGAGTATATTGTAGACGAACGGACGATAGCCGTCGCTGCGCTGGAAGCACTGCAGCCTGGTGGTCAGGTTCGTAATGGGCAGCTCCAGCAGGCTGACCTTCAGCGAGAGCTCCACCTGATTGCGCCGCACCACCTTCAGGCGGCAGTACTCGTACCTGCTGAAGCCCGCATTTGTCGGCAGCTCCAGGCACTTGACATTCGTGAACTTGAGCAGACGCGCATCCTAGAGCAAGTCCACATTAGTCCAGTTGCTCCTGTTCGATCCGGCTTCCACTTACCGCCAGCGTCAGCCACAGTCCGAGCAGCATTTGGAGCACTCGCAGCCACGTCGCACGCATCTCGACATCTGATTTAGGAACATCCATCACGGATTCGCTTGGCTGCCAAATCATTTGCATGCTTTTATAAGTCCATTAGCCAGCCAAAATTATAATCCAAGTTTTGCTAATTGATATTGAATGAATGTCGAATAGCGTACAATTAACATATAGTTGGGTGGAAAAAAAAAACACATACGAGTTTGTTTTTAATAAAAATAAACAACATTTTGTATAACGAAATTTTGTTGTTTATCATAAGACTTCTTTCATTCAAGCTAAAGGAAAATAATGGAAAATAAAAAAGAAAACTCTCCATGTTTTGTTTTTGGAGCGTACTTTGACAATATTTTTCAAATGTACTCAAGATATATTTCGCACAACTTTTTGAAAATAAGATCAAAAAAGAAAATAATGAAAATTCAATTTTGTTTACTTTTGTTAGCAGTCGATTCCTTGAAAGGAAATCTTTTCGAGAGGTTTTTTTCTCAAATAAAATAGGAATATGATATATCGGCTATAATAGAAATTTATCGGAAAAAAAACCTCATTGATACATTAAAATATAGAATTTGCAATAAAATATAATTAATAAATAAATAATTAATTAAATATGCATTTCACAAATATATATATTAGGAGAAGCACTTCAATAGGTGTGCAAATCTTTTATCGTGATTAACCCGAACATATAAGTCTTTCTTGATTAACTCGTCAATAAACCAATGTAGTCATATCTTAAACATTGTGGCAGACTATCTTATCTGTCTGAAAGTAGGTTCGTTAACATCTGGAAGACATCGTCAACCCCATAGATAAGCATCGAAGCAGTCGCTATAGCTGAGTTGGCCAGACCAGTTCCGATAGCGTCATGATAGCGAAGATGTCGCTGGCAATATTCGCCGTAATTGGCAGGGTATCAGCCAATTGAAATGGGCCAAGACTGGCGCGGGCCTGGCCGAATCGAATGGCCATTTGAGCAGATGTTTAGAGTTAATTTAAAGCGCATTTAATACGTGCTTGGGGTCGATCGGCTATTGACTTCATAGTTAACGTAGCATACGAAATTCGTGGAAATTCATAAAAAATGAAAAAAAATGTTAACAATTTCCTGTTGTCGGTTTACAATTTCAGGCCACAGCACAAAAACCATGCAAATTGTGTTGCGCTTTTTCACACCAAACAAAAACAATAATGTACATATGTCTTTTCTTTGACTCATTCAATGCTGGCCCCAGCTTGTGCCACCCCCCCCCCCCCTCCCCCGCACGGTTTTTATCACTTTTTTTTGTTTTTGTTCAAGTGTTCTTTTTGTTGTTTTGCCCAAGTCAGCAAGGGCCCAGCCAATGTGGCGTATACGTTATGCCCCCGAACCGCCAACATGTTTATTGACAACGCTTTTACGCCGTTGATACCCTTTAAACACAATCGCAGGGTATCCAATGGATAATGTATCTTTTCATGAGTTTATTCCAATTATAGTTTTGTAGCATTTTCGAACAGTTTTCGTAGCAAATAGCTTAGATCCAAACCAAAGTATAACAGATTTCTATTCAGATCTGTTCGTTTCCATGGCATAAAATCGTATAAGAATTACGGAACTTATAGCCAATTGGAACTCATGCGATCGTCTCTGATTGGATTCCTAGATATGTTCTACATATAAAGGGCAAAGCCATGCAAAAATGACTTCGCTTAAACTTTAAAGTAAATATTATTACTTTGAATTCGACTTAGATATTTTTCTATAGAAAAGCCGAGAAGCTGGCTTGTTTTAATATACTAACTAAGCGATAGTCATTTAATTAATCTAGTGCAAAATTGTACAGAATTTATATAATTAAATGCAAACAGTCAAAAGCTTTCCTTCAGATCCAGCTTAACTTATTCGCAAAAGTCGGACTATTTAATGTGGTAAAGCATAAATCAAAACTCAATCCGGTTTGATATTAGCCAACTTTGGACTTTCAGCTGGATTACAGAGTATCATGTAGTCGATAACGCTATGACAAATCTGTGTGTTGTTGTTTTTTTTTCTGTTTTTTTTTTTTTTTATTTTAATGTAGGCAGTAAGTACTAATAAATTTTTGCTAACGCGTTCAGATTTCGAAATGTCAACACCAACACCTGCACTCCAAAGTAGCTCAGGTGATGCCTAAGCTCACACACTCGCACACTCACACACACACACACACACACACACACACGCCAGTACTGTGATTGAACGGCTGAGCTTGGCTTTTGCATTGCCTTGGCAAATTTACAGAAATTCTGAGAAAATATGTTTTTATTTTAGGTGAAAACCGATGCGTTCCCAATTGGAGATGTCAGTGACCCTTGCGGCGAACAGGCTGCAGATCTGATTTGGATTAACCATATTTAATAATATTGAATGAAAGAAAACATAGCACTTTTTCGTGTGTGTGTGTGTGTGTGTGTGTGTGTGTGTGTGTGTGTGTGTGTTGTGTGTGACTTTGGCCGAACTGTTGAATGAATGCGATCAGACCAGGCCGCGCACATCAAATTGCATTGCGAAATCTGGAAGAAAAAAAAACCAAAGCGAACGGGAAATGGGAATCAACTCGATTTTTACTCATAATTCAATTGTTCTTCCAACGCAGCGTAACATTTGAAATAATATCTGCGAACTTTGCGTAACAAGTCGCCCGATTTGTTCTCTAATGAATTGTTGACAAGCCAGCCCACAGCTGCGAGTTGTTGCCTTTAGTTGAAACGTGTTGTTGTTGTTGTTGTTGTTGTATCTACAACTGGCCCGAGTATCTATGTACGTCATCCGCACGTATCCAGTTACCCGTGCAGCCAGCAGCCGGCTTCAAATTGTCGCCCAATGTCATTGGTGTCGCATTTGACGCTGACATTTCATTTCTCAAATTCTTAAACGACCGATCGCTGACGTATTTGTATCTTTTGCAGATTCCTGCCTGCGCTGCCAGGCGGAGAACAAGCGGGACGTGCTGGGGCGCCAGGACTGCGTTGTCGTCTGGGGCGAGTGCAATCACTCGTTTCATCACTGCTGCATGTCCTTGTGGGTTAAACAGAACAATCGCTGCCCGCTGTGTCAGCAGGAGTGGTCCATACAGCGCATGGGAAAATAGGCCACGAGATAATGCCGGTTGGACGGACCTCATAATAATTAAATACCCCTTAAGCTAAAGCATGTAAGCGTTTCTGATATAAGCAATAACTTAGAATCATTTCAAACTGTCGAGCTGAATAAATATAAATATAAAAATAGCGAAGAAAGAAACAAAAAAAATTACATGCCCCGGGTGAGGCTCGAACTCACGACCTTAAGATTATGAGACTTACGCGCTGCCAACTGCGCCACCGAGGCCATGTACACATGTACGTTTAAGAAAATACTTTAGTCAGAATTGTTCTAGAAGCATTCAGTTCAACTGTAAAGCTTTTTTATATGCTTAGAACAGTTTTGAATTATTTTGTAGGAAACCAGCAGGCGCAGCACGAGCTTTGCTTGAGAATTGGTTGAAAAAACTCCACTTGGCTTGTATAAGTTATTGGCAAAGCGTCCACCACCTGTCCCTTTGGCGCAGAGGATAGCGCGTTGGACTTCTAATCCAAAGGTCGCGGGTTCGATCCCCGCAAGGGATGACAAATGTGGCCATTGAAAAGGCCGCTAATTTTTTTTGCTACTAATTTTATTTTTACTTTACAATTTTAATTAACATCCATTATAACTTAGGTAACAACGCCGCAAGCTAATTATGCTTTCGGTTGCAGGGATGGCGACAAATTGCGCTCCAGGACGGAGCTCGTTAAGTGCAATTTTTCCACATTGCCTGCATTTTCTATAAGGCTTTCGTCAGTCTGGCGCTGAGAGCGAACCTCTTGTATGGAAGCTATAATAAAAATAGGTAAAATTAACGGCATGTTATGTACAGAACTAAAAAGACACTCACGACTGTATGGCGTGTATTTGTCGGACATAAGATTCTCAAGATTGTAGCCAATAAAACCCACGACGGCTGCAACGGGCAATGTAATGTAAACAGCATTGCGCCGCAAAAGTGCCATTATCACCGGCCACATTTTATGTTTTTATTTGTTAACGAAATAATCCAAGCGACCAAGTTCAGGCGGAAAAGACAACAAGTATTCGGCATACTCTTGCCAAAAAGTACTAATTTTGGGCTCACAAACGGTCACACTGTTGCGCCGGTGAATGGTGAATTTCAGTGCTCATTTGTGGCCAAAAGTATTTTTGAAAAACTGTCATAAAATAACCATTTCAATAAGCAGCAACTTAAGAAATGTATTTACAACACAATTAAAATTGGCTATGACAAATTTTTGATATGTAGGAAAATAAAGAAGTCGAATCTCTTCAATTTAACTTTAGCCGCGCACTTTTGATTTTGTTTTATCGATATATCGCTTATACAAGATTTTTTAAAACAAAGTTCTCGAATTGAATTTTTTGACAAGGAAGCTTTAGCTTTTATAGTGAATAACTTAGAAATTACATGATTTGATTTGATTTATTTGTTTTGTCATAGGAAATATAGTTATTAATGATGTAACAAAATAAATCAGCGATGTATCGATTCTTTACATTGCCAATGCAATTATTATCAAGATTGCATGAATTGCAAGCTATCTCCTTCAATTTGCAGCATAATATTTATTTAGAATAAACAACTGTTTCACAAAGTAAATTGGAAATCGATCGCAGTTATTAGCGTATATTTATATTGATGTTAAATAACATAGCCTGGTACTTTACAGCTGACCTTGCTGTTAGTGGCTTATCGCATATTGCAAGTCGCCAATAGAGATGAGCAGAAGCAAAACACAGCTGACTTGCATCGATTCATCGTATTCATCGTTAATTATGGCTATCTCGAAATTTTCACAAGAAAAATAAACATAAACAGAACAAAGTTAGAGCGAGACGTGTAAAGAGTGGTAGAACAACGCATTTAATATAATTGCAACATTTCATTGAGATGTTGCAATCGCACAGCGAAATCGCAGTTCGAAGAGATAAAAAACGAATATATAATTGTTGAGTATGTTTGTGTACGTTAAGCAAGTGTAATGCGTATAAAAATAACTGCAAATAACGATCGAAAAAAATACGAATGAAAATGCTCGACAGGGAAAAAGTTATTTACGCATTAAGAACCAGTCGGGTTAAATACAGTTTCACATTGTTATAATGTATAATTATAACGACGCGACAGCGGCAGCAGCAACAATATCGCATAAGAACAAAGAACTCCAGTGCATTAACTACCAATTGGTATAACAACAACAACAACATTAACAGCAGCAGCAGCAACAACAACAAGCAGGGCAGCAGCCGCAGTGCGACGCATAATTTCCTGCTTACCCACACATATACACAAGCAGACACCAAAGAGCGTGTGCTGTTGTGCGCGTGGGAAGGGGACGCCGTAACGGCCGGCCAACAAAGAAAAATATCTCCACACAGATAGAGAGAGAGAAAGAAAGAGGGCAACGACAGCAATTCGCGGCGCATAAAATGACCAATTCGAACCATCGTAATCATCGAATCGATGTAAGTAGATGTAACTTATGAACAAATTGTATGCAAGGAAAGATATGTATGTACATATCTATATTGCGCCATTCGCGCGAAACTCGTCATAAAACGCAAAGAACACAGAACTTTGTTTATTCACATGTGGGTGTAGACTCAACTTGTATTGGAAGCCAGTGTGAGAATCTAGTGCTTCCTTTACTTTGTCTGGTCTGCCTTACGGGCTGGCTGGGAATGCAATTTAAACGCAGTGCCGACAACAATCAGAGCAATAAAAGCCAAAATCAAACAATAAACAGCTTCCTTGTCTCTCATTGGCCATTTCACTTAAAAATATTCAAGTGTGTGTGTGTGTGTGTGCGTGTTGTATGTGTGTGCACATAGTTGTTGCTCTTTTGTTTGCGCGCATCAGCCAAAACAGTCACCCACACACTCGCAGACTTGCACTCACTCACACACACACCCAAACTCCAGACAGTCAGTCAAACAAGATTGCCGCCCTTTGCTCGGCTTGCCCCCGCTATACGGTTGCAGTTGTGCTATGCACTCACACACACACACTCGCGCGCACACACACATGGATGTACACATGTATTTCCTTTTTTGATTTCTTTATATTTTTATAGCGAAGTTGGTTCTTTGTCAGAACAAAATGTTGCCTTTGTTGGCGCTGCGAGCTGTTGCTCCCAAGCCCGTACCGCTCCTAAAAGTGTAAGTGGCTGCTACCCAACCCCGAACTTGTGTCTCTGTTTGTCTTTTTACACAAGTTAACAGTGACTTTAGCTAAAGTGCAATAAACTCGTTGCCGTTGCCATTGATGTTGGCGACGACCCTGCTGCTGCTGCTGCTGCTGGTGCCCACCCAGTCTGTCCCCAGCTAATGACCAGTGTCGGGAACCTCTTGCTTTTGAAGTCTTCAATGTAAATAAGAACTTCCACACGTACACACATACAAACGGACGTAACGTACATAAATAAATATGCTAGGGTAAGAGTGTGTTTGAGTCAGCGCAAGTCGCCAAATTGGAGCCTGAGTGCAGCAGTCCCCAGCCCGTAACTCGCTCTCCTGTAGTTGCCAAACCCATGCTAATTGCCGAGGGGAGGGCGGCTGATTTTGATTTGCGTTGTGGCTATCGCTCTCAGCTGTCTAAAATAGATTAGGAACAACTGTATGTATGTGTGTGTGTGTGTCTGTGCTCGTTTACAGTTAGTTTGCGTCTGGCTGGTGCTGAAAACAAGTTAACAGCAATAATTATAAATGCAAACATTGACCGCAGGGCTTTTCATTGCGAAAACAGCTGACATGAAAGTGCAACTGTCTGGCAGCGCTGTGCATGCAGCTAAAAAGTGAATGCATATGTAGATATAGAGCGATTGATGGTGTTGTTGGTGTTGGTGTTGGTGGCGCTTTAAACGCAGCAGTGGAATTTAGTTGGTTCCATGCCGACATTTGTTTTTGTTGTTTGTTGTCAAACGCTTGCGCTCTCTCACTCTCGCTCTATCTTCGGCTGACACATGCATACATACTCATTCATACATACATGCTCTCATTGAGACTTTCGTGTTGTTATTTTTGCGGGTGCATTGCACCGCCCCAAACGACGCCCCCGCGCACGCAACTGGCGCGCGCTCTCCGGTATCTTTCTCTATGTGTGTATGTGTGCATGTACATGGACTTGTCTGTGTCAGTGTGACCCCACATGCATTTTCGAAGCCCGAGCGCAGCGCATTCGAGCTTCAGCTGCTCGCTCGCTCAGTTACCATTCTGCGCTCCGTTGTTATCCATGTCGACGCTTTCCTCGTTGCGCTCGCTGCTGCTGTCATTGTCTCGCGTGTCTGCATTTACTCTGGTTGTGTAAATTTGGTTTTTCCAGTGCAGCCAGCCACATTAAAACACATTATTTGCGTAAAAATCTATGCGATTCTATTGCTGAAAAGTGAAAAGTGCGCGTACTATGTAAAACGTCGCTTAGCTCAAAATAAGGAAATTTAGCAGTAAAATAAAATAAACCAATGGTACTCGCAGTTTTTTTTTATTTACATATTTATTGTTTGTTTTTGTATTTTATTCCCTAACTGGACATGCAAAAAACTTGAATCTAAGTGTACATGTGCGTGCGTGTATGCGTGTGTATGTGAGTGTGTGTGTGTGTGTGTGTGTGTGCACATTTCAGTTTATTACATTGACTTTGTTGATTTTTTCGTGCTTTGCTTAAAAATGATTGGTGTTTTTTTTTTTTGTGTCGTCAGCTGTTCTCTGCTCTTTATCGCTGTCTGTTTTGCGCTCAAATGGTAGTTGGCCGAGGACTGCTGCAAATGGGAAATTGTTATGCTTTTGTAATGTACATATGTATATATGTATGTGTGTGTATGTATGTATGTAGCTGGCTATGGTGATAAGGCTTTATTCTTTCTCATTGTTTTTATTGCGTCTCGCTTTTGATTGTTTTTTGTGTGTTCGCATAATTCTTATAGGTATATGCATACACATACATGCATACATACATACATACATACATACATACATAGAGCGTATGTAGCACAGATATGCGCACAGCTGACCCACTTTTCGTTGACCTTGTGGCCTTCGAGGGTCCATATAAAGACTGTCATATGCCTTGTACATGCATCAGTATGTATGTATGCATGTATGTATATAGTACATGCATATGTATGTGTATGTATATACAGTCAGGGGCTGGCTATCAGTGCAATAGCAACAGCGAGCGTCTCACTTGAGTTAACAGTTAACTCACAGCTGACTTGCTGGCGGATTGGGCTCTTTGATTTGGCCATGGCTTATATAAATCCAGTGCGCCTTACATACGTGTACATATACATAGATACATGCCCACTAATGCCAGCACTCGAATGTACATACATATGTATGTGCATACAGAAGTGTATTTAGTTTTTGCTCTGGCCATTACATTCGTCGAGGTCGTAATAAAACTACATTGTGCTGTATGCAGAGTGAGCATTTTAAATGTTGTTTACTTTTAAAGACGATCACACTCACACACACTCGCACACACACACACACCCTTGCCCACGCGCTCTCAACACCTTTCTCCTTATCTCTCTTGCACCTACCTGTTCCGTTCGTTTGCTTTTTGCACCTCAATTGCGTTTACAATTCCAATGGGTTTTGAACACCACGCCTCCCAGCTGTACGTAGAGCTTTTCTGTTTTTTGGATGGACTTCAGCTATACGTGCCCAACAAATCCAGGTGTTAACATGTACGGAATCACGTATTACATACATACATACATTTTTGTGCACGAAACATATGCCACGAGCTGCACGACATATGTAAATGCGCTCATGCGAGGGCAGTTTCAAATGTTGCAGTGCTTATGTGCTTTACTTTTATGTACAGTAATTATTTAAAACAGAAAAAACAGTTCGAATGATTGGAAAACAGAAATGCATGCTTTTAAAGTCCAATTGTATTGCGAAATATCCGTTTACCATTTTGTGGATGGTATCAAAATGAATTGTTGGTAATCCCATTGATCGATTCCTGAGTCTTTTAAGTTTGTACAGATATTTTCTGCGATGTTCGAATTCAGCCAAATGAGTTACTAAATCTAAATCAACCTTAGGTACAAGTCCTTGATTATGGATTTGTTTTAAATTGTTATTTGCTTCAGTTTATTTTTATTAGTTTGCTTGCTTTAGCTTAAAATCAATGTGGTTTCAAGTACTTCTGAAACCAACCTCGTAAAACTTATCTAATTTTCTGCAATCTGTGTGACCGTCGCATCTCGTTGTGCCAAGCGAAAAGTGTGCACCTAATAAAGCGAAATGAATTGAAGCTATTTAGTTTAGTTTAGTTTAGTTTAGATGAATAAGAACTTGGAAAAAGGAATTCGGCTGTGAAATGAACTCGTACGAGCTGTGATAACTGTTGTCTCTCTCTCTCTCTCCCTCTCTCTCTCTGTCTCTCCCACAGTTAAATGCTCAGCTCTAGTGTTGATAAATGAACGCTGATTGAGTGAAGCACTTCCATTGTGCTTACTTTTCATTTAACTGCATAGCAACATTTACATACACATATGTACATATGTATAAATGTGGTTTCGTTCTCAGTAAGCATATGTACATATGCATAAACAGTTTTAAGAGTTGTGCTCAATTTGCCGCAAAATGGGCGATACCTGTATTCATATGGGTAAGAACCATATAAGAGTGTGTGTTTATTTATATCAAGGCCGTATTCTGTGTGCCATCATGCAGCATATGTCGCGTACATAGATATGTACATACACATATGTATGTATGTATTTAAATAAATGTCAATTTAATTCAAAAGCCTTGTCGCTCATCGCATGCTCCTCCTCCGCCAATCAGCAGTTTTTAGATCTTCAATGTGACAGTTGGCAGCTTTATTGATGCTTAATATGCATAAATGTTTTCTACATACATATGTACATATGTACATACACACATACGTATGTGGTGCACGTGCACGTATGTATGTGTATGATTTGTTAATTAAGACACAATTTGCTCGTTGATGAAATGGAAAAGCTTCTTTTATTATAAATGAATTGATTTATTTTTATTGTTATTGTTTCTTCTTTAAACATATATTTAAATGTATAGTTGCAAGACATTGCTTAGTTATTAATTAACTGTATCTTTTGGGACATGGCATGGATTCTGGGTTCAGAAACCAATCAGCTGGTTTGTTGTTTGTTTTACTGTAGACGATCGATGATTGCCTTTTTTAAATTGGCTTTGATGATTTTTCATTTGAGCTGAATGCCATATATTTTCAATATGTACATATATAAGAGGGGTAGAAGTGAGGGGGGGGGGGGGGTCACATGGTCATTGACTGGTCGTCAGTTTTGGTTCTCAGTCGGAGGCACAACGCAAAGCGTGCGAGTTGGGCGCGCATACATATTTGAATTATGTGCGAAAGATCTGTTGCCTGTCCGTATCTGTTCGGTTGAAGGCGAATTCAGAATTCAGTATGCACATACATATACATATATTACATTATAGAGAAATCCATTTGGATTGTCACGCAGCGACGTCAACCTTGGGTAACACTTTAATGTATTTTAATATGTATTTCTGTTGTTCTATTTCTCACGTGCGCGCCACGAGCAGCTATAAAGCAAAAGCTAAACCAGAAATCGAGAGAAACGACAAAAATAAAGCGATTTAACAGCCAAGTTCCTGGTGCAAAGCAAAACAACTAAAACAAAAACAATCAAAAAGTGCAGTTGCAAAACACGATAAGAGAAGCGTTTAGCAGCGACAGCGATATTCACAATTAATTAACGCTCTTATTTGAAGAGAGCTCGCCGCAGTCTCTTATCCATATATTTATGGTTTGTTTTCTTATTAAGCAGCAGTAAAAAAAAATCACAAGCAAGAGCGGAGAGGAGAGGTACGTGACGCGACGTACCAAAATACGCAATTTGTGAATAATTTAATCGTGCATTCACACGAAGACACGCAAACGACCGCGAACAACGGAACACGTCTCTCTCTCTCTCTCTGTAAAGAGTTGAAGCTGCTGAAAACAACAACTGCACAGCAGGCGAAGGCAAGACTAAAGCGACGCTGACGTGCGCCTGCTCGCACACTTGCGAACAACGCTTGATGTTTGCGCGCAGTGGGATTAGCGCTGCGCCCAATGTGGGCAGCGGCAGAGGCAGCGCCGACGATGGCGGTGGCGGTGGCGGCGTCGGCAGCGGCAGCGGAGGCACTGCCGGCAGCATTGAGCTGCTGTGTCCGCCCAGTGGCAGCAGCAGCATCAGCGGCAGCTTCAGCAGCAGCGGCGGCACCAGCACAACGGCAACTAACAGTACTAGCGTGAGCGCGTCAACGCCGGCGTCAGCTGCGGACTCGCTTGGCGACGGCGGCGAGAACAACAACAATGCGAATGCCAATCGTAATCTGAGCTTACAACTGAGCAGCAACAACAACTATGCGAACAACAATAACAATAATAATCACAGCACAAACCTAATCAGCGGCATCTGCAGCAGCATTTGGCGCACAGCAACCTTTGGCAGCGCTGCGCCTGTCGCTAGCATAACGGCAGCCAACAGCGGCAGTGGCAGCGGCAGCGCCGCCAGCGCCAGTTACTCGTCCTCCAGCGCGTCCTCGATTTCGCCAGCCGCCGCCGACGAGGTGTGCGTTGTGGAGCAGCAGCAGAGCAGCAACCAGCGCACGGTGGCCACCAACACCAACAGCAATGCAGCGCAGCAGCAGCGCACACAAATACAAATGCAGCTCGACGGGGAGCAGGACGAGCCCGTAAGATAAAACACGAAAAAAAAAACAAAATAACAGTTAAATAAAAAAATCTGGCTTTGATTATCGTTTCCACTCGATATGGCATCTCTCAGCGGTCATTCATCAAGGCCACCATTTTGTACATTGCCCACGCCTCGCCCTCGCCCTCGCCCCAGCCTTGCCTGCATATATCTTTGTTGTTTTCTCTCTCTCTCTCTCTGTTTCTCGCTCTCTCTCTCTCTTTCTCTTCGTCTCGAGCATTGTTCATAAATTAATTTGTTCTTTTTGTTTGTTTTTCGGAGCATTTTTGGGGCAGCCTCAATTAAGATCGGAGTCAATTGTTTTGTTTTGGCACAGCAAATCCATCAAGTTTCTATTTTAAAAAAATCACTACCCATACATTTACATATATATGCACTTGTGTGTGTGTGTGTGTGTGCGTATACATTTGCTGATTGTGTCGCATTTCGCATTCGCAGCAAACATTCCTAGGCGCCACCGAACTGGACGATGAGCTAATCAAACAACTGCCAAAGGAGGTACTGCTGCGCGTTTTCTCCTACCTGGATGTCGTCTCGCTATGCCGCTGCGCTCAGGTATGTACCGCACCTGTCCCATAAGTCCATTTTGATAAAACTCAATTAATTGCCTGGCATTGCAGGTGTGCAAATATTGGAATGTGCTCGCCCTGGACGGTTCCAGCTGGCAGAAAATCAATTTGTTCGATTTCCAACGTGATATTGAGGTGTGTATTTGTCAGTTGCAGCTAACATTATTCTTAAATATATACTAATTATATATATACACCTGACAGGGCCCGGTAATTGAGAATATATCGCAAAGATGCGGCGGCTTCCTCAAGTCGCTTTCGCTACGTGGTTGTCAATCGGTGGGAGATCAGTCCATCAAGTAAGTTTTTGTCTATAATTCAATATACTTTAATACGCAAGAGTTTCAAGCTTTTTTACCTCGCACTTTGTATACCCTGTAACTGTAAATTTAAGTTTTGGAAATGGTTTTGCTCTGGTGTCAAAATTTGAAGAAATATAGATGCTTAATTATCAGCTAGAAGAGGAAGCAATAAGGAACGCTGCCTTCGCCAAAAGCGCACATGTTTAGTTACAGGGTATTCCCGTTAACAACTTAACAATTCTTTTACTTATTTAGAGAACTTCCATACAGCTTAAATTTATATTTCGCATTGCTCAAAAGACTTTCAATTTTTTTGACAATATGAGTATTGATTTGTGGCATTCAAAAAGTATCTTATAACTGATCGATTATGTTTGCAGAACTCTAGCGAATCACTGCCACAACATCGAACACCTGGATCTGTCGGAGTGCAAGAAGATCACAGATAACTCAATCACAGACATAAGCAGATACTGCAGCAAGCTGACGGCCATTAACCTGGACTCCTGCTCGAACATAACAGACAATAGCCTCAAGTATATATCGGATGGCTGTCCGGTAAGTTGAGAGTAAATTTTCAGGCTGTCAATTGCCAATTCGAATAATTTGTTATCGCCCCGCAGAACCTGCTCGAGATCAACGTATCCTGGTGCCATCTAGTATCCGAAAATGGGGTCGAGGCTCTGGCGCGCGGTTGTGTCAAGCTGCGCAAGTTCTGCAGTAAAGGTTGTAAACAGATTAACGACAATGCCATCACGTGCCTGGCCAAATACTGTCCCGATCTAATGGTGCTAAATCTACACAGCTGCGAGGTAACGCCCCTTTGACCCAGGCACCATTAATACCCTATACGGGTCATGTGCGTGTGTATGTTTGTTTGACTAAGAGAGAATAAGCTAGACACAAGAAACTCTAAAAAGATTATATTAGACCCTCGTACCTTATGTTAATACACTTTCACATTATGTTTTCCCTACAAATGTAATATATATTACATTTAATGCATCCCTTTTTCCCCAACTACTCGTCCCTGGTAAGATGCAAATTTCCCCATTTGACCTTGAATTTTATTTCCACTCTGCGATGTGAATGTTTCGCAAAAAATGTATTTGATATTAGATATTGATATTGATTGATGAATAGATATTTGTAAGTAGGCTCTAATTGATAAAACAAGTTTTCTAACGTTGACAACCATCTTCCATTTCCAATGATTCACTGTTTCCGCCGATTTTCCACCCTTTGCGGTGGAATGTGGATTCATTCAGGTCAAACAGTTAGTCAGTTCGTCAGCACAAACATACATTTTATTAATTTAAATATATATAATTGATTTTTGGATTATTGTCGCAGACCATCAGCGACTCGTCCATACGGCAGCTGGCGGCGTGCTGCCCCAAGCTGCAGAAGCTGTGCGTGTCCAAGTGTGCGGAACTAACTGATCTCTCGCTGATGGCGCTGTCCCAGCACAATCAGCTGCTGAATACACTGGAGGTGTCCGGCTGTCGCAACTTTACGGACATTGGCTTTCAGGCGCTGGGCCGCAACTGCAAGTACCTGGAACGCATGGACCTGGAGGAGTGCAGCCAGATAACGGACCTAACGCTGGCCCATCTCGCCACCGGCTGTCCCAGCCTGGAGAAGCTGGTAAGCATCCAAAAGATCAGACCGTTATGCAAATCAACTAAATGCTTGCTCCACGCACTTCAGACGCTGTCGCACTGCGAGCTGATTACGGACGACGGGATACGGCATCTGACCACGGGCAGCTGTGCGGCGGAGAGCCTATCGGTGCTCGAATTGGACAACTGTCCGCTGATAACGGATCGCACGCTGGAGCATTTAGTTTCCTGTCACAATCTGCAGCGCATCGAGCTCTTCGACTGCCAGCTCATCTCACGCGCGGCCATACGCAAGCTGAAGGTGGGCGTGGCACTTGGAGTCTTGCGCCAATTGCTAATCTCTTTGTTTATTCTTTAGAACCATCTACCAAATATCAAGGTGCACGCTTACTTTGCGCCCGTGACCCCGCCAGCCGTGACGACAGGTCACCGGCCACGGTATTGTCGCTGCTGTGAGATTCTCTGAGATACGGCCATTGGCTTTGCCAGACGGATAATGCGCAAATCTGCCACGGACTGATGCTGGCCTCTGTGCATCGTTGTGATTGCCATGCTCGTAAGCCTGATCCTCATCGCGATGCTGTATTCCTTCGGTCTGCTTGACAGCGTCTACTGAATGAAGGCGGGCACCGAGAAGACAGCAACACAAACACACACTCACACTCACACACACACACACACAAATATAGCTGTGTATAAGCAAGATTCTAATATCGATAATTAAGGATCCGAAACGAAACAAAAGAAAACAAAGCAAATTGTAACACGAAATTCGTAGTCTTAAATGTACCCAAGCTAACTTTTAGTATTTAGTTTGCGCGAGAGTTTCAAAAACTCAACTTCAACATGTAAAATTGTGATTATTTTATTTAATAATGCTAAGCTGTTATGTTAACTAGACAACCTTTAATTCTTTTTGTTTCTCGTATGCATTATGTGTATTATTAGATATTTCCTTTTTTTGTTTGTGTTTCATTTTGTGTTTATCTCTCACCGAATTCTCAATCAATCAACCATGCTACCAAACATGTCTGAAGTATGTACATAAATACATATGTATGTATCTACCCTGTAATATTCTCTGCGGGTAAGCTCACAGATATACAACACACACACACACACGCATACGCATACATGTACTCAACCAGCTTGAAGCGTGCATGTTGTTGCTATAATTATGATTTTAATAAGTGAGAGCAAGTGCATATTTTACTATATAACTGAGATTTTAATCAAGTCTAAACATGTCGATAGAACCACAAAGCGTTCACCCACACACACACACTCACACACTCATCTTGCAGTCAGTGAAAACTTTAGGCTATTTCCGAATAACTGTTGCTATATTCCGGTTTTTTTTTTAGTGCCAGCTAAATCATATTTAAGCATATATTTAACCTAGAGCATTATACTTATAGTTATACTTATACACACACACATGCGTACGTATTATGTATGTATGGCTGCACACACAATGTCAACGAAATCCAAATTGTATATTACACCAGAACAAATCGAAACACAAATAATAAACATTAACAAAGGGGAAATAAAAATAACCGTTCAAGTGCAAGCATGTCTTTTACACACAAACAAAACAAACAAACAGATGGATCCACGTTTCTAAAACACAAATCTCTCATACAATATATATGTATACTTAGTACATAAAACACATGATAAATAAATCTATATATATACATTATGAGAAAAATATATATATATATTTAATTATATAATATACACACGTATAATTGTCTATTTTGTAAATGTAATCCACACAAAACGGGTACAAAAACGCAAATTTTCATATAAATTCCGCGCACAATTGCAAACGATTACCCATTGGAATATTACCAATTGGAGTACATGGTGAACGCGTGGTTTCTTATTAGAAATCCCCGCAAACTGTTCCATTGCTCATTGTGCGCAGAAACTATTTTAATTTAATTGGGCTATCAAATTACACATAGAACAATCTGAAAAGGTATTATTTCCCGCCCGTCATTAAGCAAAATGAAATATTTCCATGATTCGGATAATTCGTCAATAATTTCATCAATACTCACCACACACAAATCTTATCAGAACGCTTTAGAGTAACATTCGAGGAATGCTGCCAAGTGGGAATGCAATATTAATATGTATGTGTATGTATGTGTATTTTGTTCTTGTATTTCAAACTAATTGTAGCATTTGAAATATTAATAATTGCTCTATCTGATGGGTTTTAGTTAAACAATCTATAGCTAATGACTTAGTAATCTATGTGTTTCAATTGTAAACCAAAAAGTGCATAAGTAGATTTATAAAAGAAACAACTTTCATTTATTGAACTTAAGGATCGTATACAAATACAACAGAAATTAATTTACTAAATAAAATGTGCTAAGCTTTTTAAGGTGCATCTGCAAGTAAATTGACATTACATTTCAAAATAGAAGATAATTTGGTCCGGAAATTTCAAACCGAAACATATCTTTACACAATTTTCAAAAAGGCGCCCTTTTCAGTGATTCCCAATCAGCTGCAGATTTATATTATATAATGGGACAACACTGTTTTCTTTGCTATCTGTCTATCGTTCAGCCACCACATTTTTCGCCGTCATCGCTCTAAGGTTGTAAATACATTTCGATTTGTATCGGTTTGTACTTGTATTAGTATGCGGTAGACGAAGGCATATCGAAATAATAAACAATTATGTGGAATTTATAAACAATCTGTATTTTCAGTTATATTTGAGTGTGTGTGTGAATGTGCGCGTGTAATTATGCACAGAGCAGCAGCCAAATGCGCTCCAAACGGCGGTGAAAGTGTTGTTGTTGCAGCGAAATTGGTTTTCGTGGCTTGCAGCAGCGGTTGCGGTTCAATTTGTTGTGGCATTCGCTTTAGCAGCAACGATCAATTTTCCCAAAAAAAGACAACAAAGTGAAGTAGAAGAGTAGGGTTGATAAAAGAATAGTGCAACAAAAGTGCGGGCGACAAGTGCATAATAAAGAAAACAATTGCCGTTTTTATTTTTTTTTTATTTTTCGGTTTCCGTTTTGTTTGCCAATAAACTTGCAGTGCTGCTTGCGTTTACAGTTACATACTTACATACACATGTATGTATGCATTATGTATACGCTATAATAAGTTCAAGGAAAGCAGAAAGCAAAATGCGAGAAACAGAATGTGCAATGCAGTAAGAAAAAAAAACGACGCCTGCTGCTTGGGCCTCGCCTCTGTCCATTTCATATTATGTAAAGAGCGCTCTTTGTTGACTTGTGCACCTGTTTGTGTGTGCGTGCAATAAATATTAATTCGATCCAAGTTGCATGCTATGATAATGTTCAAAACGGAGCCAAATAATCGATGTGCGAAAATTTGCCGTTGTCGGCTGTGAGCTGGCGCGGGGGCAGCATTAGCGGCATTAGCAGCAACAAAGCACAGCTGAGCGACAGCAGCAGCGTCGGCGTCGCTGTATGTGTGCGTATGTGAGTGTGTGAGTGCATAGGGAGTGAAGGCAAATAACAACAGTCGCAATCGGAAGCAGGAGCAGCAACGGATCTGAAGCAAATCAACGCAAATCAATATTTATTATGTGAAACCCCAACTGAACTGCAATAATGTCTAATTAAAGCAACAAATTGATTGGTTAACAGCAACAATAATAATTGAATAGCTGTGGCAACCTTGCAAGTTCTTTGCCCTTCTATTTATTCGTTTGTTAAACGGTAAGTCGGCCATTTTGATTGCACATTTCACTTGGGTTTGCGCCTTGTGCAAAATAACGTACGGATTCGCATACACATACATATGTGCATACATGTATGTATGTGTGTTCATCTCCATATGTACGTATGAAAGTGTATACCTACTAACATACATACAATAAATATATTATAAATGCAACCAATACCAATTAATTACTTTGAATATGTACATGTATACATATGCATACACACATACATTTGCATTTGGATATGAGCGAAATTTATGGCAGTTAGAATTCGAATTTCACAAGAGAACTTTGAAGATTGCGTTGTTCAGCTTAAAACTTGTTTCTGTGCTCTGAACGTGCGTACTTATGTATGTACATCGCATAGCAACGCTTCACTTACATATGTACGGATGTATGTACCTACTCCTACATGTACATACGTATTTACATACAAGTATGTTTATAGATATACATAGTATATAGGGGCTACTCTTTATATGGACAAGAGGTAAATGATTTCAATTCACGTCTCGCTGCGTCTCATTTGATTGTTGTTTTTTTTTTGTTGACAGCAGCCCCGCCGTTTTCCATCCAAATCCAAATTCACCCGCCCCCGCTGCAGCGCACACGCTTGCTTTTGTTGTCGCCGTCTCAATCAGCTGTGTGAGTCTCGACGTCGACGTCGCCGTCGCCGTCGCTTGCTTTGCTGGGGTTTTTTTCTTCTGGTTGCTGTCTTTGTTGGGTAGCCTTGTTCTCTGCCGTCAGCGGCGCTCAGACAAAGAAACTGTTAACGCGCTCTCGCTGTGTATCCTTGACTTTATTCGTTTGCGTTTTGGAGCTTTATTTTATTTCCTTTTGAGCGGGCAGACAACAAAGAAAAATGCTCTACACAAGAACTGCGAGTGTGCTTGTATGCATGTGCATACATACATACATATATTGATTTAATACTGCAGGTGATTGACAAACGTACATACATACATACATATATACGAACGGTACAACACCCAAAAGATCATTAAAGATAGAGGGAGAGCGCATGTAACTGCTGAGTTAACAGCTCAATGGGGCTTAGAAGTTTGAATCGAATTTGTAAGCCCGTGAATTGACAATTAACAGTTATCTAATTGAGATTTGACCAATTAATTAATCGCGATTGAAGCTTTTTAGTACTTGAAAAAGACACGTGCATTTTGTTCATAGGAATTCGTAGTAGATAAAGTCAGATGAGGTGTTTTTGAATTGTTATGTTTGTAATTTAATGTCTTTATCTAATTAAGTTAATCTTATAAAATGCCCTACTGCGATATTTGTCACTTGCTTATCGCTTATTATTTACCCTTTCCAACTCATCTATTTAGTTTGCATACCTTTGCACACCTTTATATTGCGTAAATCCAGTATGAAGTAAATTTGATCAAACAGCGTGTAAATATTGTTTGTTTCAAAAAAAGTGAAACCTATCAGGCAAAATGTACTAACTTGTACATATATATACATATGCATATATAACAAAAAGCAAATCATATCGTTAAGGTCAACAACATGCCCTCTATTCAAAAATGCTAGTTGGGTAATATTTGCCGTCATAATCAAGATCTCTGTAAACAGGGTTGTACGTCGAAAAAACTGTTATGCATATGTTAAAGTGAATATTCAGAGGGTTATATTTGGTGTGTACATAATGCTTACGATGTGGGCTTAATCTACTTGACATATCTCTAAAAAATCGATGGAAACATGTAATTAAATTAAAGTTTCGAATACGCTTTTAAAAACCAACAACTTAATCATATAGCACTCATTAACATCCTGGGGTGAAATTAAAAGAAAGCTTTTTTAATTAAAGATATCGTAAAGTGTACTTGGAAAAGAATTATGAAGTTAATTCGAATTCTTTAATTTCTTATAAATAATCGGTGTGTTTCTTGAACAGGGTATTGCGTAGTCGTTGAAGATTGTTGATTTTGGTTGTTTTTTTTTCATTTTGTATTTGTCCTAAGCCCTGAGTCACAAATTATCAAAGCTGATACGTTTTATATGGGCCTGCGGGCCAGATAACGGAAAATAAACCGTACAGTGGACTAGCTTATCAAATGCTGTCAGACAGTCCAGTGCCGCCCGTGCGGCTTTTTTGGTGATTTCTAGCAGTCGAAATGGGGGTGGAGAAGGTCTGAGCACAGTTCAGACTCCTGTTAGTTGATAAAAATGAAATGCGGAAAAGAGAATAGATGTATGCACTCTGATTAACAGCCATTGAAATTAACAGACTGTTAAGCATAGTTCCACCCACATCTACTTACATGACATATACATGTAAAAACCTACACATGCGAAGTGAAGTGTTGCCGTCTCTGTTCGAGTTGATCTGTAATTTGCTCAGTGCTCTAAATAAGTTTCAATGAAGCACATCCTGAGGTCGTGTGCACCAAGTTGCTTCAACTATTTGAGTTGCTTTTGCTTTTTAGGTGGGTGGTCACACTGACCGACGGCAGCAGCTTTCAGAAGCATCGCCTTCATTTTGGAGACCCACGCTACGCAATATTTTCAAATTTTACCCCATTGCTACTTGTTGTTGTTGTTGTTGTTGTCGTTGTTTAACGGACGCTAAGCTAACAGGGAGTAAGAGGGAGAGTGCGAGTGAGAGCGCGCACAGTGACCCCGCCGCCGCTTCTGCTTCCCGTTCCGTTGCTGTCGCAGCCGTCGCTCGCCTCCTTTTGCGTTTTATTTTACGTTATTTGGTTTTTGGGTTGAATGACTTTGGACAACGTGTGCGCAAAAAACAAAAAACAAAAAAAAAAGAAAATAAGAAAATAAAGAGCGTAACATTTAAGCGTTGCCAGAGAGCCATTGAACCCACCAAAATGTAGACAGCTGATGGACGCCAGTTTATGTTATATTGCTGCCAGAGGAAGAGAGTTGTGTGCGAGGGGTGTGGTGGACAGTGTAATGGGGGGGAGGTGAATTTGTATGGTGATGTCTCGTGGCACCCTTCAATAACAGTTACAACAATGGTTCCTTGTTGTTGCCCTCCGCTACGTTCTCATCTAATTCATTTGGTGCTGGCAAAGGGGGGGGGGGGGGGGGGGGGGCTGACAGACTTGGACGGTTTCGCTTTGATTGATATTCGTATGCACTGCTTTGACGGAATTTGCGTTTCATTTCTACACACACACACACACACACACATACTAGCATGCACACAATTTCTCCAAAACACGTTAGCACAAAACAATTTGTTTAGATATGAACATACATACATACACATGTTTGTATGCATGTGTGTAGATTTATTTTTGTTGTGTCTACAAATTTAAACGGCATGGAGTCATCGCATGAGAAGAGATGAGATGATTTCTGCTTCTTGAACTCGACTCGTGGCTATCAAAATTCAATTTTACGTGATATTTTCGGAGGCAATGTTTTTTTTTCTGCCCATACTCTTCTATTTGGCTAGTTTTCTTTCTTTTTTTGTGCTCATATTCGAGTGACTCACTGCCCGCATTTGGAACATACACACACACATGCATACATATGTACAAAGTGGCATATATGGGTGCAAATACATGCATGTGGATATTTATATAGTCCAATTCGTTGTACAATCATCCGATCCAGACCCTCGTATTACGTGTTATGATCATCTATGAATATTGCAAAGAAAATTCTTATTAGAATTTGTATGCTAACTTCAAGTTAGAATTTAAATATCAATTTGGCATAAAGAACAGAAATAAGATTATTGTTGTAACAAAAACGACCCTGAACAATTTATTAAGAGATTTTGCGCAGTAGATTATAAAAACCATTTACAGGGAGGCAACTCTGCGCCTCGTCCCCCTCATGCTCGTTGCACTCTGCCAGAGCTTTGGCAGCTGTTGGTGCCAAATTAATGTGTGAATAGAATAATACGAGAATCTTATCAACATCGCAATACAATATCATATCAAGCCTTTAATGCAAAGTCATTGTAGAGGAAAATTGAGGAAATTTCTGCGCATTAGCTAGGTGGGCGGGTGGGGAGCGATCCCCATAAGTATACATCGCACATGTCCGCGTGTAAGTATGTAACTGTCTGATATAGTTACCATATTTGTAGTTACATACAAGCATATTTACACAGTTACATATGTACATACATACGTCCCTTGTATAACAATCGTCTGCCGAGCGTCTATATTTGCTCACAATCAATCTCAAGCGTCAGTCCAATGGTCGCAGAACACACACAGGCACACACACACACGCATGCACACACATGCACACCTATTTACAGACAGCACACACTTACACACGCATACACATGCAATCGACAACAATTTCAACAATTGCGTTCTATACAATTTCACATTTATAGCAACGTGCGGACCATAACAAAAGTAAGCGCTCTATAATTTATAACTTATGGTAAATAAGGCACCCACACACACATATACACACAAAGTAGCTCGACTCTCCTGATAGTGACATAGTTAAACTGTTAAACTAATATGTTCATAAACATTTAAATATGTCGTCTGCTGTTAGTTTTATTATTGTTTATTGTATCTTCGCTTTCGTAAGGCTTTTAACCGTTTGATTGTCAAAACAGCTGATCGCAGCAATTAATAAAAACAACTGCGCACATACAAACATATGCACACATGCAAAGCAATGAACACTCACACACACACACACACACACACACACACACACACACTGAAAGAAGCGCTGCCCTTTTATCAACACTTATCTGCCTCTTACGCCTCAGCACTCATCAACAGCAGCAGCTGTGAGAGAGAGAGCGAGAAGGAGAGAGAGATAGAACAAGAGCGAAAACAGAAACGAGAGCGCAAGCCAGCAACATTTTTGACATGGCCCCCCACATGCGCACACACACTGAAACGACACCAAAACAATGTGTGCCCAATAATGTTAGTGGAAAATAAGCAATTAACTTGCTTAAGGCAAAATAAAAACTTTTGGATAAGTATACAATGGTGTGTGTGGAGACACTTCTGATGTCTCCCAATG